GCCTGCTCGGTTGGGACTGGGAGTTGGGGAAGATCACGGGGGCTTGCATTGCGGTGGTAAGCGCGGGGTGAGCGTGAGAACCCAGACCCTGTGGTTCTTTCGTAGATCAGGCTGCATCCTGCCGAGGGGGCTGATGGAGCAAACGATGAATCAGCTAACCTTGGTTAGCATCTTTTATGAACACAGCTTGAAGCTTTTCAAGGAGAGGGAGTCACTGCAGAAATGTCACCTGGCCAGGGAATGGGGCGATTACAACTTCCCCAACTTGGGATCCTCGGGTTGGGGGTGGGGGGTTGCAACTCTTAGCTAGGAAACCCCCCGCTTTTCACCCTGCTCCCCCCCTTTAATCATGGGGTGCTGCACGGCCCCTTTTAACCATGCCAAAATGCACGGCCTCTAGAAGGAGAGAAGTAGGGTTAGCGTCCTCCATGCGCCAAGCTTAAAATTGCTTCGGATTGCAAAGGGAGCCTCACAACTGTCATCCAAGCCGCCCCGCGTTTCTTGTTTTGGATGATATTTGAGTGTGATGTTTGTCCTTTTTTTCATCTTTCCCAGTCATTGGGTCTCGGGAACATTAGTTCCTGTTGCGGGTGGTTTCTTCCTCCCCTGCTTGCTCCCTGCGTTTGGTGGCTGAGAGCTGCGGAAATGCTCACTTTTCCTCCCCTCGCAAGCTTGCGATGAGGCTGCTGGGAACTTGAGTTCGTGAAGTTTGAGAAAGAGCTGGGTGTCCAAGGCGTGTGTTTGAACTGGCACCGGGACCGACCGGAGCTGAAGTTCCTGCTGGCACGGTGGTTTGGCACCCGGGTCTTTTGGCTGGCCCCGGATTCTCTGTAGGATCGTGTGCAAAAAAAGTACATTTGGAGGTGACAACTGGAACGTGAATCAATCTGGTTTGCTGTGTTTCCACATTGGCTGCAGTGGCGGATGTGCAAATATTGGCTGGCTGAACCGTTTTGGAAATCAGGGCACCCCGGATTTGTAGGAAAATAACAGAGGGTTCTTGCTGTTTTCTGTTGAATGCATTTAAGATGCTTTTTTTCGGATGGGGCTGTCTGCTTTTTAAAACATCTTGTTCGGTAGAAGTACACGTAGAAGTTTATACAGAAACGTTTGCTGCTTGGATATAGGTTTATTGCTCGCTTGACGTGCGGCAGGCCAGCAAGGGTAGAAACCGTTAGATTTTAATTACGATTTTAAGCTGTAATGAGTTATTGCCTTAACGTTTGTGTCTGTGTTTTGTTTCTTTCTGTAACGCCTCGTTAAAGGCACACGAAAAATTCAGCTACAACTGCTATGCCAGAATGCTTTTTGTATTTTAGCACCACACATTTTCCAACCCTTTTCTCCTTGCATCTGTGAAAATAACCCTTAAAATGATATTGTGGCCAGAATTCTGGGAGTTGAAGTCCACGCATCTTCAGGTCGCCAAGTGTGAAAAACACTGCATTAAACTATCCTGTGGCTTGGTGGGCTGAGTCCCGTGAATGCAAACCCTGACTAAACCACAGCTGGTAATGTAAACCAGGTTCACGCACAGTATGCCAAGCCCAACCAGATTGAACAGTTGGGGTGACGCAAGTTGAATCAGGACACGGCTTGAAATGTCCAACCTTTGACCCTGGGCCCAGGGAGTGTGCTTCCCCAGGTGTGACACAATCTGGCCATGAAACCTCCAGTGTGTTTGGTGCTGGCCGTCCCATATTGGTGGAGCCTCTCTTGGGCTGGTGCCTTGAGTCTTCCTATTTTGCTGAAGAAAAACAAACCCACATCACATTTTGCAATTCCTCATCTGCTTTTATGGGTTTGAACTCTAGGATGACTTCTATTCTCCCCCCGGCTGACCGGTTGCCAGAGTGGTGAGCGTTGGCTCCGCGCAGATTGAGTAATGTCACGGCTGGGAAGGAGGTGGCCTCTGGTTTACAATTTTGTGCAAAGGGCGTTGGGGATGGAAACCTAGAGGGTTGTGTCTGGGCTCCCAAAATTGATGGTTGGCTCAGGGTGTGAGCGAGAGCTTGCTCTCTCCTCTGGACCTTCCCTGTCTGGAATAACAGACTTGGTTCCATGTTCACCCCCGAGTGGGGTTTGGTAAGCCTGCTCTTGCGCTCTCTTCCTTTGCTTGGAGGAGTAGGGTCAGGGGAGCAGAGGGCTACGTAGTCCAGAAAGTGGGGATCAACTCTAGAGACCAGTTCACACATGGTGTTGATTTCTGGGTTCATCATGCTTTCAGCAAGCCCCATTTAGTTGTGCTTGCACATTGCATGAAGCCCTAAACCATGGCTTACAGTGGCTTGGTTTACACACACACAGACCCCTCCCCAGAAAACACAAAAGCCACCAAGGCTTGATTGATTACAGCAGGGTTCTTGAAACAAGCTAACTTTAAATTGGCAGAGTCAACATCTCCCAACAACCCATTCTTGGAACATAATAGTCAATGGTGGTTGGAAGTGAAAACTTTTAAACTCTTCAGCTCAGTCGTGTCCCATTCAATTACAGCATAGTGTGATGTCCAAATGTGACTTATCCTTGATTGAAAACAACATCTGTCTTGGCACCCTAAGGTCCTAAACACCTCCCCTCTCCAAAAGACTCACGCAGGAACATTTTGGTAACTTTCTCACACCCCGTTGGAACGGGACAATTTTTCTGCCCTGATCCCAGTTTTGCAAAAATGCACACATTGTTCTTTTGACCATCGCCCTGCCAAGAGGTGTGTCTGTCAGATTCCTTCTTGAAATGGTTTTGGATTAATTACTACTTTGAAAAACCGCCTTGCTTTTTGTTAGCCAACAAAACCATCAAACTTTGCGCGCAGTAGAGCCCAGAGAAGAAGACAAGACGGGAAAGGTTTCAGCGCCGAGTTGCCAAGGATCACATCTCAGAAGTTGCTAAGATAACTTCTGCCTTTTTTCCCTACGGCTTTTTCCCCCAACGCAAACAAAAGACAGCTTTGTGGATTTGTGGTTTTATTTTACGACCCTTAATAAATCAAAACGGGTAGAGGAACATCATATTAATAAAGATGAATGTGGGGGGTTGAATTGTTCCAAGGTGTCGGAGGCCTGAGCGTGCTGCAAATTTAATTGCACGATTAGTTTTATTGAGTCTGGATAGAACAGATACCCTCTCTCTTGGCCGGAGAATAATTCTTGGCAATTTGAAATGCTGGTTTGAGTTTGCATTTCCAGAAGTTTGTCATCCTTGCTGAAAATTTTCTCCTATTGCCTACTCTTTTTAGGCGGTAGAAAACACAGTGTTTTCCTTTCTTTTCCTGCATTTCAGGAAGTGAGATGACTCCGCGTTTGCCATTTAGCCCCAACCCCTAGTTGATGCATTATTTCAGTGTTTCGAAGATGGCTTTTGAAT